TGGGAAAGGGGACGAGGAGCGTGCGTGTAGGTACGGCGAGGTTAGAATGTTGCATCGCGTCGCAGCGCTGTCGTTGCATTGCGTACCGTTGCGTCACTCTCTTGTGCCAGCGTTTCATTCAACTTGGAGTCCCTCGCACGAAGGTCAAGCGGTCGTAGCTATCGCTAAGCGCGCCGACGGACAGCTCTGTTCTCGTCCTCTCTCCCTCTTTCCACCCACTCCCACTGCAACAGTCGATTCATTAATTTGTCTGTGATCCTCGGTCAGAGTGTTGAATTTTTCATATTTTCGTAAGATACATTTAGATATATACACGTAGAGCGCAACGCGTTCGAAACGAGTAGTAATAACTCTCTACATTGCTATGAAACTCATCCTTGTCCGTACGTTCATCTTTCTTCCACCTAAAGTTTGATTTCGCCTCGATCAAACCATCGTTGTGGTTCGTCTGCTCTTCTTCCTCTCCCTCACTCTCTCGCTCTCTCTTTTTTGGTCTCGTTCCAACGTATCTTTGTCCCTTGTGCTTTCCATCTTCATCGATCACTTAGTCATTCGTCTGGTCTCTTCTCCCTCTTCTGTTCTCGCTTTGTGGCCTGCCTCCTCCCGTCCCGTTTCTTTCGCTGCCCGTTTCTTATTCAGCGATTTTATTTCTTTCTCCCGCGTCGAGCTCTCTTTTATCCGCCCCCCCCCCTCTCTCCATCTTCTGTCGCGTTCCCTTTCTCTCTCTTTGTCGATTCTCCTCCCTCCCGTTGCTCTTTTCCCGCTCTTCTCCCCTTCCGGCACGTCAACTCCAGCAGGTTCACCGTCCATTCATGCCTTCGTCGAGACACCGTCTTCTCGCGACTCTTTCTACGATCTCTCTCTCTCTCTTCTGGCCACTGTCCCTCATCGATTTTTATTTATCGTTCCCTTCATCGAACTTTTTCTCTCCTCCCTCTTCTCTCCATTATTTCACTTTTTATTCTCGGACGTTTCACCGGTCCTCTGTTTTTGGTTTGCTTCTGCTTCGGTACTGTTAGAATCCTCTCGTGCTTGTCCCGATGATCGTACATACCGAAGATCAGACGTTAATAGCAACTAGCGCGAAGATAGTGAGAGTATTGTATAATACTGTAACAATATCGCAGTACAAAAGATATTGAGAACAACGTGGATTCATTCAACGCGGATCTACGGAATATACAGTAGACAATGATCTTTTTAAATCAAGTTCATCCGCTGGTTATATACGTAAGGCTATACAGTTAGAATGGAGGCTTGTTCCGATGAATCGTTGTCCTAACAAATGTTACATTTGACGGGTGAAATGCTTACGCTCGTAAGAATCTGTATACACGTTTGATTGCTTTAACGTAACACATCCACCGTTGTAGGTATAGTCGTACATTGGTAAACTGTAATTTAAAAAAAGAAAATCCACTTTCTCGAAAAAATGTTAGATTATATGTTGGCAATACCGTTGCATCAAGGAGA